TCGCAAGTGACTCGACGGCACATAACAACAACAACAATAATCCTCGAGATCTTGAGATGACTGTGCATTAGGAGCATTGGTGAGAAATGAGAAGTGATTGGTGACATGCAGCATAAATCTCATTTTTTTAAAATATGCTTTTACTTGAACTTCCCCCCCATATTCAAAAACATGATCTGTTTAGAGACTAATTTAAAGATTTTTCCTTAATTATTTAATATAAATTTGGTAACAGAGTGGGAAAATGCATTGATTGAAAGCCAGTTGTGTGGTTTTGTTTCTGCACAGTTTTTCTAGAACATACAAGTTTCTGTTATTCTGTCTTCTGTTTTCATATCCACATGAAAATGTTACTCTAAAGCTCATATCTTCAGTCCTGAATGGTGCTCATCAGCATGTGCTCAGTCCAGGTAGAATTCCTGTCTTCAAGGAAGCTGGTGGGACCACCTGCCCTTGGAGACCTGCGCTCTAGAGAAGGGCCCTGTTCTGGGCTGAGGTGTTGACATGTGTTCTTGGGGCTCATGGCCCTAGCTCCTGCCCCCAGACACCCCTTCACGCCGTCATGCCCTCTGCATGTCCTGGGTGGTGAGGGCTACTGTCAGTGCACAGACAGAGTCATGCTCTTCAGTCTCCTAGAGGGTCTGCTGAAATCATGGATAAAGCCTTTGCATTTCTGCAGAGAGCCATGGATAAAATGTTTGTATTCCATCCTTTCAGGGGCTGCCAGGAATCCCCAGACCAGGGAAGAGACAAGAGGCCCCAGGTCTCTTCAGAGTATAGAGACCACACTGTAGCCAGCAGCTGTGGTCTTCAGTTGTTTTAATGATTATGTGCTCAGCCAGGCGCCCAGGAGGCAAAAGCTGGCAAAGTGGTGCACTTGTATATAAAGAGTCTGCATTTTACAGAGGTCAAGCTGCACATGGCACAAGTCAGGAGGACTTCTCAGCTGCCCCCGCCTGCCTACTCTCTAATTTTCCCTTGGTCTGTTCCCATGCTCTCGCATTTTGCACAGAGTAACCCCGTGCCTGTCGGCCTGCTGCCTGGGCAGGCCATGCCATGTCTGCCAGTCATGTGGGCCATGTAGTGATGATTCAGTTATTTCTCACTGGTTTCGTCTGTGCTATGAATTCTCTTAAATGCACATCTACTGAAAGTACCTTTTTTCTTTCTTCCTGTAGCTTGTACCTCCTTTCAAGCCGCAAGTAACCTCTGAAACAGACACCAGATACTTTGACGAAGAGTTTACGGCGCAGACAATTACAATAACACCACCTGAAAAATGTAAGTGCATCTACAGAGCAATGAGAATGTTCTCATGGAATTTACAGGAATTCCATAGTTTCCAAATGAAATTCCATGGTGAGGTATACATCCCTTTAAGGATGTAGTGTTCACAGTGTAGAAATATAAAAAAGTAACTTCAAAGAAAAACATCTCGGGATGGAAAAATCACACAGGGAGGTGGAGTCGACTGAGAATTACAGACTAAATTTCACTCTCATCATCTCTTTCTTCCTCCTTCCCAGTAGATTGTTTTGACGTCAGCTGAAGAGACTCTGAAATTGAGACTGCTCCCATTTCCCACACCTGGCCCCTCACGTTCTACCTTTCTGTCTTTTGCCAGCTCTGCTTGTTGGCTTCGTTTTCCAGTTCAGTTTCAGTTGCATTACTGTTCTGTTTAGCTTTGTTGAATCAGTGAGCAGCTTCGGGAACACCATGGTTAGAAGCATGTAACTCTTAACCGGAAGGTCAGCAGTTTGAAGCCACTTGCTGCTTTTCAGGAGGAAGATGAGGCAGGCTGCTCCCTTCAGGGTCCCAGACGTGAGGAC